TGTTAAAATAAACTTTGTCAAACTTTGCAAAGTTTGACTTGACACAAACCTAATACTCCCCCCGTTTCTTTTTAGTCTGCATATAAGATTTGGTCAGCGTCAAACTTTGTTAACTTTGACTAAGTTTATAGAAAAAAAATTAAGATTCATAATATGAAATCAATATCGTAAGATGCATCATGAAATTAATTTCCACACCATATAGATTTAGTATTGTAGATGTTGATATTTTTTTCTATAAAGTTGGTCAAACTTTACAAATTTTGACTTTGATCAAATCTTATATGCAGACTAAAAAGAAACGGTGGGAATACATGGAGTAAAAAGGGCTGGAGGGAGTACTACACATCATCCATCTACTTGGTCTTGGTGTGACTCAACACCACGGCAAGAGTAAATTGCACCACGAGTACGAGAAAGGCATTCTGGAGGCCTTTATTTTTGAAAAGCTCAAATTCTAACTTTTATGGTTCAAAAAATTCTGAAAAAAATATGCGTGTATGTAAGGATGTAACTGACATGTGTGTAAAAATTCATGATGAAATACCTTGAGTTGTGACCTGTATAAAAAAAGATAAATTCATGACCTGGAAGGATGAATAGTATCATGTGTTAAACAACCCTAGATTTGTCTTATTTTGCACAGCCCTCGTTTCAATGTATTTTGAACTGAAAATTTACACACATGTGTGTTATGCCTTCATGTATATCTGTACTTTTTTTAGAATTTTTTGAAATGTAAAAACATGAATTTCAATGAAATTTCAAATTTGATTTTGGAGGCCTCACTGGAGGCCGAGCTCCAAAAGGGATCTCCGCCGGAGTACTAGCTACAAGCATTCCTAGTGATCTAAAAAGTCTTATAAAAGTTTACGGAGGGAGTATGTCCCTAAAAAAACTTGTTTCGTATGTGTGCGCATTTTAATCACACTGCAAAGCGCTCATATGAGCCAAGGGAACTTGGTACGACAAGCATGCGACGTCACAAGTGGTCCCTCCAACCTGAGCGTCCACGTGGCAAGCTGGCGAGGCGGAAAATGCCGTGCGAATGTCATGTGAGGTACACTGCACGAGCACAATGGCTTTCTTGCAAGAACACCCTTAGATTTAGGCCAATACATAGAGTACTTGTGCAGATACGACTTCGCCGAGATGGAGGACGTAGGCGGCGATGGCAGAAGCAAAATGGTTGGTGAGCATGTCGCGGGCTAGCAGGCGGTGGCGACTTTGGTTGCGCCGACGAACCTGGACCATGACAATTGTGGAGAGGTCATTTAACTCAGAGGAGGTAAGAGTATCAGGGCTATGGCGGAGGTGTACAAAGTGAAGGGGTCGTTGCGAGTGCGCCGACGACACCAATGACATTGAAGACGGTGACTTCGAAGATTCCGGAGCTTCAAGATCCCCATAAGAGGGGTAATATTGTTGACCCAATCCTCCTCTCTCGAATGATGTAGCTCAAAAAGGTCCAGATTAGGGAAAATCTTAGCCACTGGGCAACAATAGGCTATGCAAGGGTGCCAATTTGGTTCTTTTGGGCGTTGATTTAATTCTTTCTTTAAATTGGCGACCAAATGTTGGTAATTTTGTACGATTTAGGATTTAGGCATGGGGAAGATTTTGAATTTTGCGGCTGGTTTGTTAGGATTTGGAACTACTCCTTAGTAACCTGCAATGTAGTGTTGTCAAAAGAAAAATTTGAAGGAAATATGCCCTAGAGGCAATAATAAAGTTGTTATTTATATTTCCTTATATCATAATAAATGTTTATTATTCATGCTAGAATTGTATTAACCGCAAACTTAGTACATGTGTGAATACATAGACAAACAGAGTGTCCCTAGTATTCCTCTACTTGACTAGCTCGTTAATCAAAGATGGTTAAGTTTCCTAGCCATGGACATGTGTTGTCATTTGATGAACGGGATCACATCATTAGAGAATGATGTGATGGACTAGACCCATCCGCTAGCTTAGCACTATGATCGTTCAGTTTATTGCTATTGCTTTCTTCATGACTTATACATGTTCCTATGACTATGAGATTATGCAACTCCCGAATACCGGAGGAACACTTAGTGTGCTATCAAACGTCACAACGTAACTGGGTGATTATAAAGATGCTCTACAGGTGTCTCCAATGGTATTTGTTGAGTTGGCATAGATCGAGATTAGGATTTGTCACTCCGATTGTCGGAGTGGTATCTCTGGGCCCTCTCGGTAATGCACATCACTATAAGCCTTGCAAGCAATGTGACTAGTGAGTTAGTTGTGGGATGATGCATTATGGAACGAGTAAAGAGACTTGCCAGTGACGAGATTGAACTAGTTATGATGATACCGATGATTGAATCTCGGGCAAGTAACATACCGATAACAAAGGGAACAACGTATGTTGTTGTGCGGTTTGACCGATAAAGATCTTCGTAGAATATGTAGGAACTAATATGAGTATCCAGGTTCTGCTATTGGTTATTCACTGGAGATGTGTCTCCGTCGTGTCTACATAGTTCTCGAACCCGTACGGTCTGCATGCTTAACGTTCAATGATGATTTGTATTATGAGTTATGTGATTTGATGTACCGAAGGTTATTCGAAGTTTCGGATGAGATCACGGACATAACGATGAGCCTCAAAATGGCCGAGACGTAAAGATCGATATATTGGAAGGCTATATTCGGACATCGAAAAGGTTCCGAGTGATTCGGGTATTTTTCGGAGTACCTGAGAGTTACGGGAATTCGCCGAGGAAGTAGTGTGTGATGCCCCCGATTCAATCATACACTAATCATACACGCAAACGTGTACGATCAAGATCAGGGACTCACGGGAAGATATCACAACACAACTCTAAAACTAAAATAAGTCATGCAAGCATCACATTACAAGCCAGGGGCCTCGAGGGCTCGAATACAAGAGCTCGATCATAGACGCGTCGGCAGAAGCAACATTATCTGAGTACAGACATAAGTTAAACAAGTTTCCATAAGATGGCTAGCACAAACTGAGATACAGATCGAAAGAGGCACATGCCTCCTGCCTGGGATCCTCCTAAACTACTCCTGGTCGTCGGCGGCGGCCTACACGTAGTAGTAGGCACCTCCAGTGTAGTAGGAGTCGTCGTCAACGGTGGTGTCTGGCTCCTGGGCTCCAACGTCTGGTCGCAAAAACCGGGTATAGAAAGGGGAAAAAGGGGGAGCAAAGCAACCGTGAGTACTCATCCAAAGTACTCGCAAGCAAGGAGCTACACTACATATGCATTGATATCAATGAAAGGGGTAGTATATGTGGACTGAACCGCAGAATGCCAGAATAAGAGGGGGATAGCTAGTCCTATCGAAGACGACGCTTCTGGCAGCCTCCATCTTGAAGTAGAAGAAGAGAGTAGATGGTAGGTTAACCAAGTATCATCGCATAACATAATCCTACCCGGCGATCCTCCCCTCGTTGCCCTGTGAGAGAGCGATCACCGGGTTGTATCTAGCAGTTGAAAAGTCGTGTTTTATTAAGTATCTGGTTCTAGTTGTCATATGGTCAAGGTTCAACCCCGGTTCATCCTTTTACTGAGGGACACGACTATTCGAATAGATAAACTTCCCTATAGGGGTGCACCACATTTACCAACATGCTCGATCCCCTTTGGCCGGACACACTTTCTTGGGTTATGCCCAGCCTCGGAGGATCAACACGTCGCAGCCCTACCTAGGCACAACAGAGAGGTCAGCACGCCAGTCTAAATCCTATGCGCGCAGGGGTCTGGGCCCATCGCCCATTGCACACCTGCACGTTGAGTACGCGGCCGGAAGCAGACCTAGCCCACTTAATACAAGCGCAGGCTTATGGTCCAATCTGGCGCGCGCCGCTCAGTCACTGACGTCACGAAGGCTTCAGCTGATACCACGACGTCGAGTGCCCATAACTGTTCCCACGTAGTTGGTTAGTGCATATAGGCCAGTGGCCAGACTCAGATCAAATACCGAGATCTCGTTAAGCGTGTTATTTTGAAGTAATCACGGATGCCGACCAGGGCCAGGTGTTGGGGAACGTAGTAATTTCAAAAATTTCCTACACACATGCAAGACCATGGTGATGCATAGCAACGAGAGGGAAG